GCACGGCGGGGGACGAGTGGCTGCTGCCTGCCGGGGGACCTGGGTGCCAGGGGAAGGCTGGCCGTGCCGCTGGCATGAAGGCATCCGTGGGGCACTCAGTCCGGGGAGGGCTGCGGGGTCCCAGGCGGCGAGACGAGCTCCCTGGTGAGACAGGGGGGGGGGTTTTATTGGCTTTTCTCTGCATCTGGTCATTCCCAGAGCAGGTAGAGCTGGAATGGGTCCTGCGCAGCGCCGGTTCCCCTTTGCGGGCAGCGTTGCTGCCTGCAGCACGCAGGGCTTGGCCAAAATCAGCCACTTCCCTGCCAGAGCTGCGCCTGCGCCCCGCGGCCGGCCCTGACCTTCCCTGCACCCAGAAACGCAGCTTTTCGAGGCCGGATCTCCTCGCTGAATGGAAGCGGCACCTTTCCCTCATGATTTCAGTGGAAATGGGGGTGGCTGAGGGTCTTCTTCCTAAAAACTGCGGCTTCTGCATGTGGGGAGTGGAGAAATGTCCAGGTTTGGGGGCCAGCTTGGTGCCTGGAGCATCTCCCAGCCGCATCTCTGTGCCCCATCGTGCCACCCATCCCTGCTCTCGGGGAGACGACACGAGCATCACCTCCCCCTTCCCTCTCTCACCACCCTAAGATGCGTCTCCCGGCCCCGCTGCCCACCCCGATGGCGCAGGGCTGGGGGGCCCTCACTGCTCAGGGGTGCACGAGTCCGGGCGTTGCTTGCTGGAAGCAGCAGAGCCTGCAGCAACCACGGGCTCAGCTGAGCTGCACAACCTCGGCGCGGGCGCTGGCGTGGTTAACCTGCGGCGTGCTGCGCTGGTCTGCACCCCGCGCCGGGTTAAAATCACACCTCCAGGCTGCGGGGGGTCTGTCTTAGCGTCATTTCTTCCCCAACTCTGCACACCCACTGCCCTGGCACCCTCCCTCTGGGGCAGTTCCTTGCTGGGAGAGGTCCAGGAGCCTGGGATGAGGACATGAAGGTGCCTTCTCACCTTTCTTGAGGGTTTAAAGCCGTAGCAAGCAATAATCCTATTATTTCTTGCAGGTTGGCTACACCTGGAGTGGTGGGAAGGGCTCACTTTTAACGAGCCACAGGTCCTGGGTGTGAGCCTTCAGGGGTGGGAACAGATAAATAGTGCCTGCTCCCTGGTCCTTTATTTCCCTGGGGGAGAAGGGTCCTGTTTTTGCTTGTTCTGGCTGCTTGTATTCCAAGATCTGCTGAGTACAGGGATGTCCTCTCCCCAGCCCGGGGGCTGCTGGCGACAGGCATCCCCCTGCCCGCAGCTTTGCAAAGACGCGGTTTAAGCTGGAGCTGCTTGGACTCCCACCAGGTAGCCAAGGTGGGGGGGCTCCGTGGGTGCCCTCCCAGCTCGGCTCGGTGCTCGGACCCGCTGCACGGAGGGGAAGCCCTGCTGGGGGCTGCGGGGTGGGTGGGCTCAGCCCAGCTCCCGGAGCC